AAATGCATAAAAATCCGAGGTCCACTTATAAATATAAATATATATATATATACACACACATACAGTGCGCGCTCGATCACCGAATTTATGTAACCTTGTTACACTCGTGGGAATCGCAATATCAATAAAGTTTCGAAATTGTTTTTGGAAACGTGCCCCCGGAGCGCCCGGTAAAATGGTTCAAGATTGAAAATTGAAGCTTTTATTATATATCGTTCCTCCCCCCCTCCCTGTAGTTTTCTGAGTAAGCAACGTACATGTGTCCCATTGTTATCCTTATTGCTGAAATCTTGAATAAAGGACAGTATGTTGCAACTGTGGTGTTATTACCTATATAACCGTGCAGCTATCTTATCTCGAGCGAGAAACTTCCGAAACCAGAAATGCAGGAATGCATGTCATCCGTGGAAAGTTAAGGATAAATGTATCGCCTATGTTAATATTTGCCATCGTTCAATATACTGCTTTCTCCGCGTCCTCTGCCCGGTGATAAATCTCTCCCGACCCATATCGATCGTAATTTGTTGCGCATTTTTACCAAATGAACGACATTTCGATAACATTTTGAGAGAGAGAGAAATATCTTACGAGAGTAGAGTTTTCAACATTTACATTGACTCTGTCATGTTTCTGTTATTTCATGGTAATGGTATGAAAATCAAGATCTTGATTTTCATACGGAGAATAGCAGGGGAGTTACGAAGTTTCAAACTAAAATGGAAATTTCGCCCGGAAGCTTAGTATTTTGGGGGGAATGATCCTTGGACAAAATTTTATTTTTCATTTGACGAAAGTTTATTTCTGAAAAGTTGAATGAAAAGTTCTTCATTCCTCTTCATCAAGTCCATAGTTGGTTCACTGCGCATACGTTCACGGGTTTATAATCCTGAATGTCGGGTATTCGAGTTTCAGATCGAATACTCGGGTCGAGAGGCAGTCCAAAATTTCCCCGAGACACGAAATATTCGTTCCGCTAGGCATAATTTCGAGACTCGAAACGCGAATTAGAAACCGGACCCTCATTTTCGAGATCCGATTCAGACAGCGATGTGAGAGGACTCGTGTTTCAGATCGGATCGGATAATGATCGGATGAGTTTATCCATAAATACATTTCCACATTTTTTTTTTCACCACACAAATACATTAATAATTTGACTCAAGAGCTTTTATTCTACTTCAAGATACGACGTTGCATTCGAGACTTCATGTTCAAAACTCGATTCGAGATACGAAATCGGTTCGTTTAAAACTGGATACTGGAATTCGGGATCCCTGGTTCGGATAGGGATGAGAATCAAGCAAAATTAATATGCAAAAATGTATAAAGTATCCACAGAAGAAATTATTAGAAATTATTTTAAGTTCTATTTTTTCAGTTGTGTTCACGAAAAAAATCAAAAAGGGCATCAGAAATCCGCAGCCCACGAAAGTCTAATCTCCATAAAATTAAGAACTTAATTCGCTCGTCGATATTATAAACACAATTGTATCGGTATATTTGAAATATAATACAGTAAGTATAATATCATAAATACAATTATACAAAAATTTAATTCGCTTAATATCATAAACATAATTACACTGGTATTAAAAATACAATATTATAAATACAATTATAATCATTCACGTTACAACTGCAATTAATGTAATTCATATCGCGATCAATATTACAGTTACAAAGATATTTACAAGTTGATAATAGAAAATTTTCAAATTTCGTACGGGAAATGTGGGAGAGGTTTC